AAAAAAAAAAAAAGGGGGGGGGGGGGGGGGGGGGGGATTGGCAAGCTAGCAGGGAGCCCAATGCCCGGGCGGCCAGGGTCAAAGGAAAATACGCACGCCAAGGAGGGATTTCCGGGCAACAAGCCTGTCAAGTCGATGGAGGTGACATAGTTTGCGTGATGAGCTTGACAAGAAGAGGTAACTCGTAGTTCAGTGGTTGACAAGCCGCAGTCAACGCATTCTGTCTCACAGAGAAATTTGGAAGAGCTTCGAGCGGAATTTTCATCTGCTGTTTAGAGAGGGATTTGCTGGTTGATCAATCCGGGAAGCGGCAAAAGTCATCCACAACATCCAGCAGTTACATACCCTGAATCAGAGTGGAATGGGTTCTTCCCAATTAAAATCACGAATCTTTGTGACTTCGAAGCTTGCCCAGTTCTCGCTAGGTAAATAACTAAGAGGTATATTTTTGTTGATCCTGTCTGTCCTCCTCAGGGTCGGGTGCTTTATGATTGAATCCAGAGCTGTGTTTTAATAACCATCTCTCCCCAGTCCAGGAAGGTTCCACAGCTTGAAACGGACAAACGAGGAGCAAAGGAGGAAAAGAGAGAGAGAGAGAGAGAGAGAGAGAGAGAGAGAGAGAGAGAGAGAAAGAACAACAACAACAAGAAGAGAAGAACAAACGAGCGTAAATAGAGAGGGACCCAAAAGCGCAGTTTTGTTTCTGGCTGCGACGCAATACAATGTCCTAAAGCGGCTTAGCGCAGTCGCGGTGCTTTTGATCCCGCCAACTTTGACTCAGCAAGCAGAAACCGCCTTGACCACAACAACAACAACAACAGCAGCAGCAGCAGCAGCAGCACCAGCAGCAGCACCAGCAGCAGCACCAGCAGCAGCACCAGCAGCAGCACCAGCAGCAGCACCAGCAGCAGCACCAGCAGCAGCACCAGCAGCACCAGCAGTAGCACCAGCAGCAGCACCAGAAGCACCAGCAGCAGCACCACCAGCAGCACCGACAACTCCTCAACTACAACTACATCTACACTGCACCGACAACTCTTGCAGCTACAACTCTTACTTCTTACACTCTTGCTACTCTCACTACTCCCTTGCAGCCCGTCAGCTTGGGCAGCAGCTCCGGACGGCTACAAGGACACACCTGCTCTGCTCAGTGGACTGCCAGCGGACTACGACACACTCATGTCCAACCTCCCGCTGACTCCATGACGCCCTTCATGGTTAGTGTGCGGGACATGCCATATACTGTGACCAACTCCTTCAAGAGGTATGTTTGCCGTGCATCAGCAGCTATGTGTGCACACTTCTGTCGCTCAAGCACACGTGCCTAACCAAGCTGCTGCAAATAGAGGTCTCATGATGCACACCTACGGACGGCCCTTGCGGCGCGTCTTTGACGAAGAAATACGGCCTGCAACCAAGAAAAGACGTGTGGACCTGAAGAATGACAACCCCAAGGACTCGGCGGAGGATGAAAACAACCTCGAATGCGCTATACGCGAGTCTTCCGCTGCCGTCTTGTCAAGTCCTTCGCGTCGTACCTCGATGGCCTTCTCAGAGGACCTCCTGGACGATGATCTCTCAACCCCCCCCTCCTCACCCCCTTTGCAGCTCACTCCGCCACCGGTCAACACGCGAAAACCAACGTTCTCGTTTCTGAAACGGAAGCGTGCAAGCAACAGCAACAGCAACAGCAACAGCAACAGTATTTCCTCCAACGGCACCCCTCTAACGGAGGTCAACTTCAACAGCGTGCGCGCAGCCACGGATCCACCCCCCCAGAAATTGCCCAAACAACAACGCCAGATCCAGTCACAGCCTCCTCTCAAACAGATGCAGATCGATCTAGGAGTGGACATCCGGAAAACATGCGCGGCCTGTGGGATGGAATATATCCCCTCCAACGCGGAGGATGTCGCGTTGCACAAGAAGTTCCATGACATGAACTCGAGCGGGGTTGACCTGGGCAAGGCGTTTGTACGAGCAAACGCGTGTCGATGGGTGTATGAGGCGGCCAGGTTCGACGAGGGCTACGTGGTGATTGTGGATAGGAAGAGCTCTCCCTCTGCGCGGAAGCAGGCCATTCGAGTCCTGGAGGTGGTTAACAAGGAGCTCTCAGCGCCAGATATCGAGGACTCGGTCCTGTGGAGCCAGACGGAGCCTCCGGAGCGGCTGAGGAAGAATGGATCGAATGAGAGGGCGGATCGGTTCAAAGTGTTCTTGCACATGAAGGATAGCAAGTGCGTCGGCCTCTGTCTGACGGAGCGGATTTGGGAATCACATGTCGTGAAGCGACCCGAGGGCGCCGGCAATGATGGTGGGCAGCTAAATGGCTCCTCCATCACGGTTAGCAAGGAGGCCTATACGGCCATCGTGGGCATTTCGCGTGTCTGGACGTCTGCGTCCTCGCGCCGGATGGGAATTGCGATGGACCTCCTCGACTGCGTGGTGAGCAATTATATCTACGGGATGGAGATTCCCAAGTCGCAGATTGCGTTTAGCCAGCCGACGGAGAGTGGGTGTCGTCTGATCGAGGCCTTTTTTGGACCGGATGAGCAGTGGCGTGTCTACAAGGAGAACTGAGAAATGTTTCGGGATTTTACGGAGAGCAACTTCAACTGCTCTCTACTACTACTACTACTACAAGAATATAACCCAATACGGGCATTAGGGTTAGGTTTGGTCAGGCTAAACTGTTTTTAAATTTTGTACTTTAACAATTCACACGGGTTTAATGGGGTTCCTGCTTGGGTAGCTTTCGCACGGGATGAGTGCGATGAGAGCTGGTTTTCTTCTTCTTCTTCTTCTTCTTCTTCTTCTTCTTCTTCTTCTTCTTCTTCTTCTTCTTCTTCTTCTTCTTCTTCTTTTCTTTTTCAAATCGGAATCTAGGCAATAAAGGGGCCTGATGGGGTTACAGGGATGGAGCGGGCTTCAAGAGTGTTCTTTGTTATCCTACCGTCCTTTCTCTGCTTTCTACGTTCGAGGCTTCTCGGTATGGCGAGTTTGGGGATCCATTTCAAAAGGCAAAAAGGATTGTTTTATACAACAGTAAGAAGACTTATACTGAGATGCTGATCAATGTGCTGAATTTTGTTGATTATATATAATCATCCCATTTTTATTACATGGCCTTTTTTTTTTTTTTTTTTTTTTTTTTTCTGATACCACTGCGGTAAAACAACGCGACGAAGAATACAAGATAAATATAAATATAAATAACCAGTTAATTAAAAAGAACAATTCTTTCCATCCCAAGCTGTTGCGTCGTGGCGCTCTCTCTCTCTCTCTCTCTCTGTCTCTCTCTATCATGAGGGAAGCGATCTCCACCCGGCTGCTCTCGTCATCACTAGATTTGTAACTAACCCAACCAACCGCCGCCCCATCATCAACGTCACCACTTCAGCCAGCCCCTTCAACCCCTTCACTCAACCACCATGACTTCCCGTCTCTCCAACCACAACATCTACACTCGACGGCTGCTCTCTTCCCGGCACGCTGGGCTTGTCCCAGGCTCTCATGCTTAATCACTCCTGCTTCACCCACGATGTCTGGATCCAATCCTTTCCGCCATAAGAAACCCAACCTCCAATCTGCCCCGCAGCTCTCACGACGCCAGCAGCCACACCCGGCACCATCATCAGTCCACAACGGGCAAGACAACAAAAGCACGCCAAGTGGCCCCGCACTAAAGATATATGACGAAGGTGCGCTGTTTCATTTAACTTTTTCCATCTGGGGGTAAATGAAAAGGGGGAAGGGGAGGGGAGGGGAAAGAACACCACCAATAACTTGTTCAGTGGATGAAACAACTGTCGAGGAAGACAAACTGACTGGAAAACTATGTATCCTTTGACGACGAAGGCAGACCCTTCTCGATCACCTCCGCTCCAGAAATCCGCCCGCAACGCTTCTCCAACTGTCCCGGCCCAGGCATTATTACACCCCAGCGCCAGCGATCACTCAGCTCAAGCCAATACTACGGCCTCGTGTCCCAGCCACAGCTCGTATCCTCACGGTTTGCCATCCCCTCTATTGGGCGATGATGAGAGCCCGCGTTCTGAAGATCCGTTTAATCCGGATGCTTCCGGGAGCGGGAGTGACGGTGAAGATGTACTAGATGGTGAAGAACCGATGATGTCGAGGATGGGAGAAGAGGTTCGTCGTCGTCGTCGTCGATCAATAGAGACCGGTGGTGCCGCGCGTTCTGCATTCTCTACTGCACGGGAGCCTGCTACACCGCGGGGAAATGGTGATTCGACGACAATGCCCTCTTCAGGTCAGACGGGAAAGAGGGCGACGATGGATGTTGATGCTTTTACGAGAATGCTTATGACTGGAGATATGGGGAATGCTGGAGCGGGAAAGGAACCTTCTCCTATGACACGCTTGCCATCACAGACCAAGCATGGGCTACCCTTCAGCAGCGACAGCAGCAGCAATACAGACACAGCACCTGCTGCATCAAAGCGGGCTCTTTTTGACCGACGCCATTTACCGCAGTTGGAAACCTCGCGGACTTCCCATGAAATGTCGATATTGGAGGCTGATGAGGAGCGGCGAGAACTTGCGGCCTTGACCAAACCCGCGGAACGGCACAAGCCTCCTCCCCCAAAGCCAAGGCGTGGGAAGCCCATCGAGCACAACACCGGGCAGGCGTCCCCTCTGGCCAATTCGTCCATAAGCAACCCCTCCGCATCGCCCATTACATTATCGATCTCATCTCCAGCGCTCCTTCAACAATCAAGGATTGATGTCAACAAGCCTCTGCCCCAGCCACTGGTTGATAATGTATTTTCATCAATGACCACAAAAGATTCTGATAAAGGCGCTGATGGCGCATCTCCGCTGCTCCAGCACAAACGTCCACCTACACCCCCTTTAACCCGACGACACAGCCAGATGAAATCCAACAAATCCGACCTCTCAAGAGAGAATTCCTCAAGATTCTCCATGGTATCTCCTACTACTAATAACAACCTCTTAAACACACTGTCATCCACCCTAAAGAGTCCACCGCCCCTCCCATCCCGAAGAAAAGATCGCGAATCGTCCACATACTCCTCCTCCGACGCAACACTCCTACCATCACCCCAAGAACAACTGCACTACACACAGCGGCAGCGAAGTGATTCTTCAAAGGAAGACTCTTCAGACAAATCCAGTCTCCGCAGCGTGGAGACCATCTCGGCAATTTCTAACAAACGCACTTCACACGGTCCACCCCGGCTACCCCCCCCTAGGCGAGGAGGTGGGAGTGGGTGTAGGGCTAGTCTGGACGAGATACGGCCTCTTGCGTTTTCAGTTGAGGATTCTCCAACGATATCGGCAGCAGCAGCGACCGATGCGGCGACTCGGACGAGGAACAACATAGAAGTTAGCAAGCGAGCATCTCTCGATATACCTCCCCAGTCACATGCTACTGACATACTGGCCGATTTGTCACGGTTGAAGAAGGAAGTGGATGATTTGCGGGGCCGGTATGAGGGGCGGCAAGCGAGTTCGTGACATTGGCATTGACATTGACTACTCTGGCGGAGTGGGGACGGGTAATGGGGAAGGAATTAGAAGCCTAAACAAAAGAGGAGTTTTTAACCAAATTGGCTATCCTTGCTCTACAAATACGATGTTTATCTTGCTTCGTGAAGTGGTTTTGTCGACTTATTATCCGGTTGGCGACACTTTTATGGGATATGTTTTTCTTCAATTCTGCGCCATCCTTCAATAATATGTTTACCCCCTCACCCATCTGTTTGTTTTGCATATATTTGCGGGGCAAGGTATTTTTATTACTTGTATTTTCTTCTTTTGTTTTGTTTTTTTTTTCTCTTTCTGAGAGAGGAGACAGAGCATGTATTAAAGCCGTTTCACTGCCATTCTAAACAGAGGGGGAAATATTATATAAATAAATTATATCTGTCTACCATGCATGCTTTATCTATCTATTGGTCCAACATCTACCACTTGCCCCCTTTCCCCTTACGTCTTGGGCAATGCTAACTGACGTAGACCAAGGAGTAAACAAACTTTTGAGCAATTGAACAGTCTCTCGAATTGCGGCGAGTCAACATAGAAACATATCTCGATATTTTTGTTAAAACTTTTCTCTCCAACAGCAATCTTTCACTTTCAGGTCGACCTACCATCCCTCCCGGGGCCGTCAAATTACGCTTCGTTGTCACAATTAATCGGTCTCTCACCACGGCCATCGCCCCTTGAGGTCACCTCTTGATGCTACACTCTGCTGTGCACGCGGGGGAGACCTCATTAACGAGAGCAGGAAAATATTCTCTCTTAGCTTGTCCGTTCTTTCAAGAACGCTTGCCGTGAGTGCGCCCACTGTAGTGGAAATATCGAATAAGGCCTGAGGCTTAACTTCTACCGCCACTGAATGTAGTGTGGCAAGGAGGGGCCGGCGAACTGTGCGGGCCAAAGTCACACATCAAGCCCCTGGAAATCATTGTTGAGGCTGGCGACGTGCGGACGATACCTATCCAGAACGAGTTTGGTATTGCGAGGTTAAAATATAATGGATAGCTGTCAGCACTTTACTGCTGTCGGACTAACAGGCAAAGTGGAGCCTGAATAAGGAGATGCCTAATATGTTATCTCTGTTTACAACTGTCCCTATTTTCTCAGATATACCTTCACCGCTGCCTTGATGAGTTTATCCATAGACTCGCACATATTCCCTCCGCGATCTCGTGGCGACCCTACTACTGTTACATCCAACTCGTTGAGCAATTTCTCATTCTGGAGAAGTTCCCCCCCCTGGTCCACTAATTTTTTTTTTTTCCCCGGGAATCTTAGGTCGATCAGCAGCTGGAAGAACCGATCCACTTCATTGTCATGAATCGATCAAAATACACCTCCCTCACCATCTATGATGACAATTTGTTTCTTCCTTATCTCCTGCACTTACTTCTGCTAAATCATCATCATGATCATCGCCAATTTTGTCGTGATTGCAGACATTCCAAAGGTGCTCCTTGGATTCCGTGGAGACTTGCGAGAGTAACTCCTAAGCGCATCTGCTACAGTCAGTGTGCAGATCATGCTGGGACATTTCTTTTCAGGTGCGCATCGGAAAGGTGTTTCTATTTTTCGTCGCCAAAACCAGACCAGTTAGCTATCGAGAGAGAAATGCTTTCCCATCTTGCCCCACTCTCTCCAAAATAAGAATAATAATAATAATAAAAAAGGAGATGGGGG